GGGGGTAATTGTTGGATTAAGGTTCCCGAGGAGAAGGGAGGAAGTGGGGTCCAGATTTTAAATGGAAGGACTTGCCTAGCTAGGTTACAGGGAGGGACACCTCTGCCAGTGAAATGAAAATAAAGAAAATTAGGATAGGTACTGTTAGCTTGGTGGCCAATAGTGGTCTTAAAGTTGGAAACAAGTATTAAATCCTTCTAATTAAGTAACCCCCAAGTGATTAATTTGTGCCTCAATATATTCAATCTAAGAATTTCCCAGTGGGCAGTTGAGTTCTCCATTGTCAGTGTGTATGTACCCTTTGGTGGGGCTGAGCTTAGAAGAAGCATCTAAAAGAAAATCACCTTTTCTCTGCTTGACCCCTTTCCTCTCACATCGGGGTACCTTCTGCAAATCCTACCTCTAGAAAGATTTTTGCTGGGCCTGGAGTTAAATTAGGTATTTATGTATAGGGAGCCAGAGCTTAAACTTATCACAAACTGCAAAAGTCTGAGCTGTTTGGAGCATTCTGAAGTTCTGTGTTAAGGTTGTTTGCCTTCCCTGATAAATTTCCTTGCTAAACTATTGGGTTGTCGGAAAAGTCATGACGCATTTTTGCAACGAAAAACAGAAAAAATACGTCATGACTTTTCCAACAACCCAATATTAAGATCTTAAACTCCAGGTACTGCAACATCCTCTTGCCTTGAAGCTTAAGTCAGGAAAGAGCTTCCATGTAATTGATGGGTCTGCAATGTAGGATCCTAAAAAAGGATTCTCCAGCTTTGGGGCAATGTCGTTCTCTAAAACCTTTTCTGAGGAACTTAGGGATCAGCTCTAAGCAGGCTAACTGACTTGGGGACTTGTCCTTGGTAATTATATTCAGTGTAAGTACTTGGACCTCTTCCACCTGAATTGAAAGTCAGTTGTTTAGCTATTGGAAGCATGACTGATATGCGACCATCAGGTCTCCCTAGTCTATTATCTCCATGGGAGGGCTTGGTAGGTGAACAGGATAACTACGAATAATAAAATTAAAAAGACTCAATTGTGCTAATCGCACCTTCGGATCTAAAACAAGGCAGTGGACTAAGAAGCAATCACATGATTTCTACCTTTTGTTTAAAATATAAGTTTAAAAAGAAATCTCTTAACTTTTTATTTTCCATCTGTGTATTGTTAACCTGTTACAGCAAGCACACAAAACTTTTATAATAAAAATTCTAAAAAGAAAACTTGTGACTTCAAGAGTGAGAATTTTTGTTTTCCCATCATATCTACATGTCCCAGCACACAGTTGATATTTGTTGGGGTTTTAACTTATGGACTGGACTCTTGTAGGTAACTAGGTTCTGATTTCATTTTGTGCTTTTCTTTAGCCAGTCTTCTAATTGTATATTGGCCAAGGTTTTTATTATGTAAAGCTTTAGCTGTTAGAAGCTCTGGGAGGTACAAAAAAGAACGCATGATCTCTTTCTTTACAGAGTTAATGATCTTATTGATGATGTGTTACAAGTTCAGAGCTCTATATAATTATAAGTGCTGATGGAGTGATTAGCATAGTCAGTACCATAAAAACTTGAGAACAAAGAGACTGTTGAGAACTGGAGTTGTCAGGAGAGACGGCGGAAGTAATTTTTCTCAAACACAAATCTGATCGTGTCATTCTCCTATTTAAAATTTTCCAATGCTTCCTCGTACTTTTCCCTTACCAGTTTCTTGGTGATAAAGCTTGGATTCCTTAGCTTGTCGTGAAAAGTCATAATTTGGCCCACACCATCCTATCCAGTGTTAAATCTCACCACTACCTAATACACACCCTATCTTTCAACCATTGTTTTTTGTTTTTTAATTTTTTTTAGCCATTCTGGTTGGTGCATTTCACTGTCATCTCAATTAATTAATTAAATTTAAAAAATATTTTATTGGGGGTTTGGGGGAGGGTAACAGCATTGGGGAATCGGGGAAAGGGAACAGACAAGTTGCTGTCCTTTTGTTCTTCAGTCTAGTTGTGGAGGACGTCGCTTCACTGGCCCTTGTTGGTATTATTGCGCTCTTCCCAGGTGAAGCAGATCAGTCGCCGGCCACTGGATGGCCGCTCACAGCGGCTCTTGGCAGCTCACGGTAGCTTATGGCAGCCCACTGCAGCTTCACTGCAGTCTACTGCAGCCCCACTGCAGCCTATGCCGTCGCTGACAACTCACGGCAGCCCAGCTCCAGGTCAAGCTGTTGTTCACCATCTTAGCTGTAGAGGGTGCAGCATCACTGGCCCTCATGTCAGATCCGAACCAGGGCTCTGCTGCTCAGAGCTCACGCTCCAAGCCAACTCTTAACCAACACGCCACTTGGCTGGCCCTCTTTCAACCATTCTTAATACTGTGCTGTTCTTTGAACATAAGCTCCTTCTCTCCATGACTTTGCATTAGGTGAAATTTCATGTAGTAGCTTTGTCCCTTCTCTTTCTGGCTAACTTCTACTCATCTCTAAGGTTCAGTGAGAGCCACTCATCTGGAAACTCTCGCTTGCCTCCCAGGCGTCCCTCCCCTCCTCAGGTAGGCTTAGCCCCTTCTCTTATGTTCCTGAGAACTCTGCTGATCTCGGTTATAGCACTTACCAAACTGTATTGAAGTTATTTTTTTTCTCTGCTAGACTGGCATCTCTTTTAAAGGTAGGGACTGCGACTTTGTGTAACATAGCCTGTTCCAAGCAGCTAAAGTCCTTAAAAAGAATTTATTCAAAGAATGAATGAGTGAACGAAGGAGCTAGATTTTAAAGAATAACTAGCATTTGGAGAGGTGGAGAGGAAGAAAGTGGCATGCCACGAAGAGAAAATAAGTAGTATGAGCAATGTGTCAGTGATTTGGATGAGACTGTAGTTGCAAGCTGATTCTGATTCAGTTTGCAGATGATACGGGCTGGGAAAGGATGAGGGTGTTGGACAACTGAATCAGCAGCTAAAAAGATCAAGTGACCAACATAGTGCGGAATGACTGGTCAAATCTAATAAAAATCTTGGTTTCAGATACTTGCATAACTCGATGAAGTGAAAGACAGATTAGATTTTTTTTCTTCTAACAGTTCCAAATGAGTGCCAATAGGTTGAATTTATAAAGAAGCAGGTTATAACTATTAAATTATTGGGTTGTTGGAAAAGTCACGACATATTTTTTCTATGTTTTTTGTTGCAAAAATGTTTTTCCGACAACCCAATAGTATGTGTTGCTTTAAGAGGTAGTGATGTTTCTATTATCTTAAGTTTTAAGCCTCAAGGATAGTGTAGATGTATGCAAGATTTGGACAGACCTTTCAACTCTGGACATAGGATTCTTTGATGCTTGAAGGGATTTGTGTATCAGGAAATTAGATTAGGTGACTTCTGAAATTTATTCTAATTTCCCAGTTCTGTGGTCTATAGTAGGAAGAGATCATTTTTCCTTGCAAAGCAGGAAAGGTTTCAAGGCTGAAAAGAAGGATGTGAAGGTAAAACCAGAGACGAGGAAGTGCTTACTGAATGGCTGTAAACTCAGAAAAGGAAGAAGATGTGCGTTCCCCTGGAAGTGCAGAGAACGTTTCCATGTTTGGATGGCACCCGTGTGACTTTTCCGAGGGAGTCAGAAAGAAGGGAATAACTGGGCAGTAGGAGAGAACACCTGACTGAAGTTAGTGTGAATTACTAGTGGACCAGGTTTGCATAATTGTGCCTCTTTCTTCTGAAATGTTCTCTGGTTTGGAGGAAAAAAATGGGAGAGTCAAGCAATGGTGATAATTCAGGTTTGGAGGTTGTCATGGTGAATAAAGTAGTAGAAGGTTAGGCAGATGAGAGTTCCTGGGGCATTAGTGATGGCAGCTTTGACTTGCTTAACCACGTTGTCGAGCACAGACTGGGATAATTTGAGATGCTCTTAATAAATAGGGTAAAATAAGAATGGAGTGATCGAAGGCTAAGAATGATTAGGCGGTATGAGAGATTGATAAAGATGACTGCTAAATAGTATGTTTGGAGAAGGAATGAGACCCAGGATGTGGCAGTGTGGGGGCTGGGTCTGAATCAGAGATGGAGGTCAGGGGAGGCAAGCAGGCTCAGATGCATTGTCAGCATAGATGCTGAAGTAATTTGGGGACCCTCCCAGAGAATACATGTGGAGATCATAAACGCGAACCATGTTGTCAGGGAAGGTTAAGGTAGATTTGCCGTGTGGAGGAGGGCGGGCAGCAGGGAATGACAGTAAGGATGATTTGAACAAGATAGGGAATGGCATGGGCTTCAAGTAAGTAGAAAAGGAGCCGGGGCTGATGGATCAGTGGTCTGGAAGTGGCCCTTGGAATTGGCAGTTGCGGGAGAAAGTGAGTCCTCCCGGATCGCGCCTCTGGAGCAGTCATTGTCAAGTGTTAATAGTCATGTTTCTGTTAAAGAGGTGAACAAAAGTCAGAATGAAGGAGAGTTTGTCTACCAAGAAATGAGGGCTCTGTAAGACTTCGGAGAAGGAAAGGAGGGAGGAGATGTGTAGTGGGGACAAAGTGGGCAGCTTCCAGAGTTTGGTTGGTGATGGTTGGTGAGGAAACTGGAACGAGGGAAGTACTGGGGTAGGAGAGAGAGAGAGTAGAGCACTGATCAGGCAGATGGGCGTGTGAAGAGTGAGATTTAACCACTGCAGTAGGAGTGTCCCAAATGTCAAGGCCACGCTACCCTTTCTGTTGGTGGTCTTCACAGCTTTGGCTTTTTGGAGCTTGCTGTAAGGAAAGCAGGGGATCGCTCTGCTCCCCAGAAAATTACCTATGATGCTCAGGAGACTTTGCCATGACTTGCTTTTTGAGGCACTTTATTCTGTCTAACCTGTAAGGTGATGACATGGTGAGAACAGAAGAGGAAGTGCAGGCAGGCTAAGCCTTCCCAACAACAAGACACAGTCTCACAGTTCTGTGGAAATTGTCTCCACAGAAACTGGGGTGTGGGCAAGGCAGGGAGATGGGAACTTGTTGCCCGGGTAGCACTAAGCCAGTGCCTTGTGTTTCCTTTACAGATGAACGGGACCGCGTTCAGAAGAAAACATTCACCAAGTGGGTCAACAAGCACCTGATGAAGGTAGGACGCTGCCCTGCACCTCCGGCTGCCTTAACCTGGCTCCGTCCGTCCCTTCTCTCCGGTGGTTCAGAGTGCCCGCCCTGTGCTCCAGTTGTTAGAGAGACACGTGTGACTTTTTAAAAGATTTTATTGGGGTATTGGGGGAGGGGAATAAACAAGCTGCTGTCCTTTTGTTCTTCAGTCTAGTTGTGGAAGACGTCGCTTCACTGGACCATGTTGATATTATCATTGCGCTCTTTCCGGGTGAGGCAGTCATTTGCTGGCCATTGGATGGCCACTCACGGTGGCAGCTCACGAAAGCTCATGCCCGCTGCTGGCCAGCCCCACTGCAGCCTACACCGTGGCCAGCAACTCAAGGCAGCCCAGCTCCAGGTTGAGCTGTTGTTCACCATCTTAGCTGTAGAGGGTGCAGCGTCACTGGCCCTAATGTGGGATCCAAACCAGGGTCCTGCTGCTCAGAGCTGGCATCCCAAGCCAACTCCTAACCAACGTGCCACTCGGCTTGGCCCTGCGTGTGACTTTTTAAAATAATGAACATAGCCATAACAGTATGGAAACTACTGATGAGTTTTTTGGTGAGGACAGTGATACATGCCATTACCTCAAGAGGCTGAGGTTGTGGACACTGTGGGGTGATTCCTGGGACTCAAAGAATGGTTTGCAAATTATTTTATAAGCCCCTTTCTTCATTGTGATTTTTTAATCTGATTACTATGGAAGGATGAGGCAGAGGGGACTTTGTGTTCTCTCTCTCTAAGTGAACAAATCTTAAATGTTCCGTTTAATGAATTTTTTCATATGTATATGTATGTATAACTGCCATGCTGTTTAAAATACAGAACACTTCCACAATGACTAGTGTTGGTGGGAGATGTTGTTATTATTTTTAAGAGGAGAAACGAAGGCAGAGACATTGAAGACCCACCTAAGGATAAACAGTATGAAGCGTGACTGTCAAGATTTGAAAACAGAGCTTTTGAGTTATCATAATTACTGCTCTGGGAAAGGTCACCAGTGACCTGGTGGTTCCATATGCAGTAGCCTAGTTTTATCTTCCTCTTATTTGATTTCTCTGTAGCACTGATACTGCTGACTGAATGGACTACTCCTTAAAGCCGTCGCTTACATTGACTTCCAGGACACTGCTTTTCCCTGAATTATCTCTTCCCTCTATGGATGCCTTTTCCTCGACTCTTACACTGGCTTTTCTTTTTTTTTAAGCTGAGCCATCCTGCCGCCTGTTGGCAGCTCAGCGGCAGCTCAGCTCAGACTGGGCATCGAACCGCTGTTGCTCAGAGCTCAAACTCTTTAGCAAGCTCTTACCCAACTGAGCCACTCGGCCGGCCCTTACACTGGCTTTTCTTCCTCTGATTCCTCCATGTTGACGGTTCCCAAGGTCCTAACCGTGGCCATTTCCTTGTTTTGCTCTCTATATTCTGCTTTGGCAGGCTCTTCTGTGTTAGTCATGGGGATCGTTTGGTTGCATGGAATGCAAGGAACAACAATAGAAAAGGATACAAGGCAATCTCACAGGATATGATGTCTGGATGCATTTGGGGCTTTATGAAAACTAAACATTACCGGGCAGCTACTCTCTCTTTAATGAGGCCTCGTAGCCCCTTAGTTTTATTTCTTTCTGCATGCCTCCTGCATTCATTTCGTTGCATTTCTCCCGTTGCTTGTGTATGAGCTGTCCCTTGAATAGTGATGTAAAACCCTGCAGCTATATGATTTAAAGATAGAAACACAACCAACCTGATTGGCTGGGGTTTTCTTTTTCTCCATGGGTCAGGTGTCTGTATAGTTCAGTAAACTTTGGCCACGAAAATGGTTACATAAATCAAACATGGCTCCTTAGGGCCACTTGTTTAACAGGGACTGCAGATGATGACGATTTTCAAACTACAAGATATGGCTAAGGCGGTAATGATAGAGCATTTTCCTGCGGTCTTTCCTAAGCCAAGGTCTTGCATATCTCACAGTGTACTTGACATTGATCTGGACATTACCCAGACATATCCTATATTCAGCACATCCCAAATTGCTAAATATTTTCATGCCTGCGCATAGCTGTCCAAGTTTGGAACCTAGAATCATACTGTATTCAGTCTCGCCCATCATCTCTCCCTTGTCACCAACTCTAGGCAATCACTTCCAGCTCGGAAAAAGTTACACCTGACTCCTCTCCTCCATCCCTGTTCCCTCTAGTCCAGGGCCTCCTCATCTCTTGCCTTGACCACTGTAATAGTTTCCTAATAAATTTCCCTATAATGATAGTAGTAGTTTGTTGAGTGTTTACTGTAAATCGGATATTCTGTATTAAGTCCTTTACATGGATTATCTCATGTAATCCTTCAGTGACCTTATGCTGTAGATTGTATTAACAGTCCTGTTTTTGTCAATGAGGACAATGAGGGTTAGAGAGGTTAAGTAACCTGGTCAAGGTCACACCCTAGAAAGAGGCACAGCTGAAATTTTAGAACTCAGGCAACCTAACTGTGGAATTTGTGCTCTTAACTTTTGCAGCGCTGGCACTGGCTTCTGCCTACCTTTCCAGGATCATAGTGTCAAATGCCCTTGATAACTTAAGCTCTTGCTGAACTGTGTGCCATGCTATTTTATGATCATATCTTTGCTCACACTGCTCCCTCTGCACGGAACACCTTCCCCAGCTCTGTTCTCCCTGGATAACACCAACTTAACACCTCCTTAATATTTTCTTTTGATCAATATTTTCTTGATTCTCCCATATGGAATTAACCACCTTTTTTTTGGTGCTCTTCCCTGTTGTCCTTATGTACTTCTGTTATAGCACCTGTAGCATTTATCTTTCCGCTGGGCTATAACTTGATATTGTGTTTTATTTTTTTAGTGTGAGGACAAAGAAAGATGGGGAGAAAAAAACTGCTGTCCCCCTCTAATTCTTTCAGTGTACCATTTGCCTCTAGTTTGATGACATGTAACTGTCATGATGCAGAGCCCTTCACAACCTGGTTCCAGGTTGTCCAACTTCATTTGTAGGCATTCGCCCCTGTGTAGCTTGTGCTGTAGCCACACGAGACGACGCCCTGCTCCTAAACACATGTACTTTCGCACCTCTGCTTATTCATTTCTCTCCCCCCAGAATGCATGACCCGACCTCCTCTGCTTGGCCATCACTCACTTATCCTTGAAGGCTCAGGTCCAATATTACCTTCTTGAGATGCTGACCTCCATCCCTTCCACTAAATTAATTGCAACTTCATCTCTATTCCATACTGAAACTGGAGGCCAACCGAATCTGGGGCTTGTGTTGCCTGCACCACTCAGCCAATAGACCAACACAGGAGTTGGGTCATAGAATAAGCATTTATTACCAGAGCACTGGTGGTCTGAGAAGGCAACGGGTTAACACCTCCAAAAACTGCCTTCACATTCTCAGACCAGCTTGGGGTTTTTAAAGGAAAATCTGGGCATTCCTCCAAAGGCTACGAGACAGTTCCGGGGGTCTGCATGGAGCCTTCCCTGTGGCTATGTGATTCTGTGGTGGGGTCAACAACCCAAGAGCAATGATGGGATTAGCTTGGTAGACGATTGAGATTGTGATCAATAAGTCTAAGGGTATTTATTAATCATAAGTTTCAGGGTAGTTTTCTAAAACAGGGAACTGGGTGAGATAGGGGACATTCTGAGCTCAAGCCATAGGGGGATGATCTATTGTTAAGCTACAGGTAGGTCAAGGAAAGGTGAGGCCAGGGACATCGAGAGACCTCTACTATGGGGGTGCCAACCAGGCCCTGTTTCAATACCACTTTGAAGAGTTCACACGCTGGTCTCCTCTGTTGGGGTGCTCGCTAAGGGCTGGAACTCTTATTGTGTATTTTCTATACCAAGCACTGCACCCTCTACCAAGCACTGTGCCCGGGACACAAGAAGTATCCTATAAGGGTTTGTTGCTTTGACTAAATAATATTTTGATAGTGTTTTATAGCTTACAAAGCACATTCTTATCTGACTTGATCCTTATAATAATCCTGAAAGAGGTCAAGATTTCCTCCTTTCAAGTTTCGAAACTAAGGAAAATGAGAATTAGAAGGATGAAGTGACGTCCCAAAATCACACAGCTAGAGAAGAATGGAGCTAAAGATCAATCATGAGTCTTCTGACCAAAATCACCCATTTTTTCTACTGAGTATGCCCCCAACTTGCTCTGCTTTCATATCTCATCTCTAACAGTTGGAAGAACTGAATTTATTCTGCCCCAAGTTTGTCTCCCTAAACTTTGTAGTTGAATACAAATGCTCTGGTTCCCTGCTGTTCATTTGTAGCTGATGTTGCCTGTTGGACCTCTGCCTCAGTGCTGTGTGATGACAGGAGGCCCAGGGAGAGAGAAACTAGATGAACACATCATAGCATTGTTAGCCATTGGAGGCCAGCCAGAGCGATCTGTCATCTCAGACTTCCAGCCTATGGTTTCAACCGCATTTTCTTGGGGTATTTCAGAGAGAGATTCATTGCTAATCAGAATGATTGCTCCCATGCTGGAGTTCTTTGAACTTTGGGCTGAGAATTAGGGATCAAGATTTGTTTTTTATAACTCAAGCATCCTTTGCTTTGCTCCCCAAGTACACCTAGATTGATGATGCAAGTAGACCGATGTATTAATAAGATCAAAACAACCAAGCCTCTCAGGTTCTAGATTTAGTTGACCTCAGATCTTTCAGATTCTAAAATGTCCATTTGTTTTGGAATAAGCAAATTAATTCCTCTTGATTAGTTGAGAACACTGTCGGTCCAGTCTTAAAAGATACTTGTTAAGGATGTAAGCATCTGAAATATATAAATAACCTAATTGAGAAGACACACCTATAAACCCAAGAGTTCTGCTTTATGCCAGAACCATAAAAAACAAAAACAAAAAGCAACCTAGAGTTTTAGATTATTCCTGCCATATCTCTAGGTCCTGGTAGCTGATAAAGTATATCACCCCAAGGCGAACTTCAAGAAGGGATGAGAGGGTG